AGATAAGTGCAGTGTACAACACTGAAAAGGTACAAGGCCCTTATGTAGCTGAGGCACAGAGGAGCTTCCAGCTGGTCTGTGTGTGCCTGCTCCTGCCTGCCCTGGTCAGGTGAGGTCTGTGTCTCAGAACTGACAAGAATAAAGCTAATCCTTGCCAGGTAGGCTGGCCCCAAGTGTTCCTGACTGCTGTGCTCAGGGTACAAACAGTGCCCTCAAGGGGGCTACCCCCCTCCTGGACTTTCCACAAGAATTAATTAGGCTTATCCTGCTTTTTAGCACTGGCAGTTACCACTAAGGAGACCACAAAACAGGAGAAAGGGTAGGAAGGAAGCATCCCTTTGCCAGCACTTCCTGCTGCTGGAGTTTTGTTCTCCTGTGTCCCAGAGCTATAAATAATCCTGTTCCTCTAAGTGACACTGGGAAATGTAGAGTGCCCTGGCTGGCTCCTGGAGTGGTGACAAGACTTTCTCTCCTGCTGGAGTGATTGGCAAAGCCAGAACACTGTGCCCTGCTGCAGGCAGAGAAAGGGTCACAGTGAATGGGAAAGCAGGGAGCTAGAAAAACCACAGCATGGCCTGAGGGTGCAGATTTTAGTTTTTTGCCTTTTTTTTTTTTTTAGTTTAAATCCTGCATAGTGTGCAGTCACCACTGTATTTCCTTACAGCATCACGGCAAGGGAAATTGGACCTCGAAACCTCCTGAGAAGCAGCTGTGAGGCTTTGTGTTATAACATGGAGATTTAGTTGGGTATGAGGAAAAACATCTGTGGTGGAACAGCTGCCCAGGGAAGTGGTGGAGCCACCATGCCTGCAGGTATTTGAAAGAAGTGGAGGGACACTTGGGGACACGGTGGATTTAGTGGTGTTAGGTTAACTGTTGCACTTGATATGAAGGGTGTTTTCTAATCTAAATGATTCTATCAATACAGATTAAGTGATGTATGTTTTCACCTCACACTTAAGGAAAGGAGAACAAATAATGAACTGGTTTTTTAAAAAAAAAGGGGAGTTTGGAAATGGTAGATGGGACAGGAGTTAAAATTTCATGCAGAACCTAGAAGAGCAGTGAGGGCTAAGACAGACCATCAGCTTTGTCTTCTCAAAAAATAACTTCTCCCTGAGCAGTTCACATTAACTTCACTTGACAGAAATAGGCCATTTGAGTGACTCTGTGGCTACATGAGCCTGCATGTGACACTGATTGTCACAGCCTCAAAAGACAGAGGGAGGACACTGTGCACCCAGAAATGGTGTGTGGGATAAGTGTGTGCTGGGGAAGCTGAGGGGCAGTCCAAGTTGAGGTGGGGCGTGGGAAACTAGCAAGGTCACTTCCCACGGAATTTACAAACAAAGTAGTACATGACAATTTCCTCCAAACAAAACAAACAAAACTGACATCCACTGTACAAAGTGACAAGGTGACCAGGTCTGCAACAGGTTGACAGTCATGTTCTTCCCTCATCTCCTCCCCTCCTGCTCCCTCAGACCCAGTTTCAACACTTAGCAACCAAAAGCAACGTTATCACTCACTTTTAGAAAGTCAGCCTCAAACTTTACACTGCATTACCTCATAAGGGCCCCATTTTGGGGCAGCTCATAGGAAATGGTAAGCACACAGTTCCCCTTTCCTATGGCATGATGCAGGTCTGGGCAACACAAAACTGGATGCTTCTGGAGTGGGATATCCTTGGGATCAGATAAGTACAAACTCTGTACCTGTCCTGTCTGCTCCTCTGGACAGGAGCCAAGGGATGAGGGCAAGTTCTGCCACGCTGAGACCCCCTCACATCCCCACATGCCGGGGCCCTCCCTCCCCTTGGACACCCCTGTGGAAACCCAACACCCAAAGCACCTACTTTCCAACAATTTTGCTGTTTTCCCCCTTCAACCCTGACCCAGCTGCTCCATAGCAGGTCATGCTGTCCCATGAGGGAAAAAAAATGCACAAAAATACAAATTTACTCACCTTTTCTCCACAGAATCAGGCCGAGGTGTGCGTCCTCCTGCAGCGCCTCAGGTGGGGGCTCCCCTCAGGCTGCCCCCTGAGCACTGCTGTCCCTCGTTAACCCTGATTACCCACAGGTGTTAGCCATAAAAACACCTGGAGGAGTGGGCAGGGAGCCCTGTGGTGACTTTTGGAGGTTTGGGTGGGTTTCTGAGGTGTTGGTGAGGGCTGGGTGCCGGGGGTGTCCTGGAGCCCCCTGGCACGCAGGGCTCCCCTCACAGCCCCCTAAGATGGCAGCGGGGGGGCTCGAGGTGCCCCCGCCCTTTGTGAGGTAAAATGGCACCAAGAAACCATCAGGGAGGGCCACGAGAAGCTTCTGCGCAGAGCCCCTTTCCTACCCCAAAACCACCCCCCACAGGAAGACCTTCTCGTCTTCCAATTTCATCCTCTCCAAACTGCCCTGGATACCTTTTATTAATCATAATTTTATTTTACCTCAGCAGAATCGCAACAATCTGTGCAAAAGCAGGTCCCTCATAAGCAGCTTCCTCAGTATTTGGTCATGCTTTCACCAGCTCTTGCCTTCCTCAGCTGAATTATGTGATTGCTTTTTGTTGTTTTTTTTTTCTTTTGCATTTCAGTCCTCAAAATTAACTTAGTGCTGAAAAAAACGAGAATTTAAAAAAGTTAGGGATGGCTTTTTTAATTTTGTTTTAAGCCTCCTTAGCAGAAGGGCATGGCCTTAGGCTGCAAACCATAGAGGAAAAAGCTTCCTGTTCACATGTACCCTATTTTTCTCTTTGATGTAGGGGAAAACGAGCCCTTTTTCCTAATGGCAAAGCCCAAACCAGGCAGAGCTGTGCTGACATCCCCCTCAAGCCCCTCTGAGGGTGCTGAGCCTGGCTGGCTCCGTCTCCCCGACATCTTGAAACATGCACCAAGAAAACAGATTTTTTGCAAGGATTTTTGGCACTGAAGCACACCAAGCAGCACAAAGGCTGGCCACAAACACATTTAGTTGTGCAATACAAAGGATGATTGTTTAGCAACATATTGCCAGAAAAACCCTGTAAGGCACCAGAGGTGTATGACAGTCTGTGTGCAGAGGCACGAGCAGCAGTTCTGTAGGAACACAGCCAAACCATAAAGCTGTGCCATGGTCAGCACACATCCCCTCTGCAGGGATAGAAAGGAATAAACAGCTCTTATGTAAACATTGACTTGGTTGAATAAGGCATGTAGAAACCTGGGATGGGGGTCTCTGCCTTAGTTTGCTCACGCTGATTTAAAGCAGGGGCTCTCTAATGAAATGCCTGCTCTGTTTCCCATTTTGCAGATGACGAGTCACCACACCTTTTAATACTCAGGATTTGTGTGGAGTATGGAATGCTATCCAGTTTGCTTTACTTGCTTTTTTTAATTACCAGCCTAGACAATCACGACAGCAGCTGAGTTGTAAAGATGATGGATCAGGCCTGACACATAAACTGTTCTGGTGCTCTGCATTTGACCAATTTTTTTTTTTTTTTATAGGTAACCTTCACAAAAGATCTTGTGTGTAAACTTGGAGCCTACAGAACCTGGTATGTAAACACTCTTTACTGGATTTAGTCTTGAGGAAAGCATCTGACATGAATTCCTTGTGACCATCAATTGCCCAAGGGCTCTGATTAAAAAAAAAAAGCCAATTTTAAGTTGGATGACTAGATTTTCTCAGCGCTTATATCACGTGGCACAGCAGAGCAGACCGTGGGTGCAGCACGTTGCTAAAAGCACGTGGATGTTGAGAGGGTTTAAAAGACCTATTTATGTGAGTAAGTTTACAAGGACTGGACAATAAGTGTAAAATTCCGTCCCTGATATCCATGTGCCATGAAATAATTTCCTCACTCTGGGAAATGGGTTTCCACTATCCTCTAGTTTTATAACCAAAAGAGAAAAGCAAGGTGGGATAAAGAGCAATGAACATGTTCCCCTTTTTGCCAGAGGTACTGAGAAGTATATCTTCAGGTTTGGCCAATGCTTAATTACCTTTAAATAAGGGTCAAGATGTGCTGCTACAAACCTCAGCAAACCTTGCAGTTAAGAGAGTGATTTTTTGAACAAAATTGGGTAAAGCCAGTTTGTGCTTACCCCAGAAATATGGGCTTTAACACAGTTTTCACCTGAAAATATAAGCTGTTATAAAAATGTTAGTGATTATCACTTGCCTCATTAGCTGATGCTTCTGTGTACAATGGGAGCCCAGTGTAGGATGGAAGGGAGGTTGGAAAAAAAAAAAAATCTGAATTAAAACAGCTTTTAAATCTAATAAACTAAGGTGCAGTAGAGAGTAGGAATTCTTTCAGGGCAAATTATATGTGTTGATTGGATTGAAACAGCTCCCCCCACTGTTTCCCTGAAATTTCACTCAAATAATTATTCCTGGGTGACCCTAAAGATACTTTTCCTTCTAGTTTTGCTTCGATTTGGCTATTAAGGCATAAATAGCAGTTCTGCTGCTTCAGGTTGTCATGAAATGCTGGGTGAGCCTGAACAATGTTCAAACTGAGAAGGAATGTGCTTTACAGCAAGCTCTTGGGTGCACCATCATCATTTCATGTGCATCATTTCCGTGGGCAGGAAGAGAGTATTGGATTTCAAGTTAATGCTTCTTGTAGCTTGTAAAATAATTCCTGATGAAGTGTGTTCAGACAAATGAGGTATTGCTGTATGGAAAAAAAAAAGTCCTAGTGTACATCATCCCCTCACAAAACCAGGCCTATAAATCCAGACACATCTCAGGGAAACCCTTCAGGTTGCAACAGAAGCACAGATCACAGTTCTGATGATTCAAAACAAAGACAGAATTCCCTCCCTGTTCCTGCAGTGAGTTCCTTACTTCCGGCTAACTTGGACTCCTGAGATGCAGGTTGCCATAAAAGATGTTTAAACTTCAGATTCAGAGGATCACAAGATCCAGAAGAGGAAAGATTGTATTTTCCTGGCCAAAATCTCCTTCACAAGGCCACTTAATGGTATATTTAGCATGTGTTGAAACAGGGTGAAGCTGCTTCTGGTAGCCCTTTATTATATTAAAAAAAACAACCACAACAACAGCAACAAAACCACGATGAGATGTTCCAAGCTACTGTATGACTATCTTTGGGGTTCCCTCTTTTTGTTAAGGTCTTCACAAAATACAAAATTAAATGTCTTTTTCTACGTACAGAACAAAGTAGAATCAAGTAACTGATTAGAGTATGTACAAAAACTTACACATTCTGTCTTGTTCTTTAAAAAATATAAATATCAATAATGTTCAGTAAAATGGGTTGGTTTTATTTTTAAGGCTTCATTCTTTCAGATCCTTCATTATTTAATGAGGTGCCAGGTAGGCAGGAAAGGGCAGGAAGAGAGGAGGTCATGTGTTTTATTAAAGGTCATGTGTTTAATTCTTGTGAGACTCTTCCTCATCTCTGGCAGGAGGAGATTTCCCTCCACATTGATTTAACTTTCCAGGAAGCAGAGGTGGAAGGAAAGGAAAACAAAACCTTTATTACTGTTATTTTTTTTTTCCTTCATTAAAATCTTGTTTTAAACCTGTCTCCTTTCATTGTCTTTGTAGAGAACCATCTGCCAAATACTTGGATTAAACAGACTGGAGCAGGACTGTGTCCCAGGTCCACCTGGGACAGGTTAGAATGAGGAAGAGGCTGCTGGAGGTGTTTTACCACCGACCCCCACGGAGGTAGCAAGTGCTGCAGCCAGGGCAGCTGCTGCTGCTGCATCCCTGGGTGTGAAGTCCGTGGGGAGGCTTTCCATGAGGCACTTGAGCTGCTCCTGGCCCAGTTTGATTTTATCGTCCAGCTCCCGCTGCTCGATGAGGAGCGCGGACTTCATCTTCACAAAGTGCTGGTAATCCTGGAGCTGCTCCTCGGAGAGGTAGTTGCCCAGGATGTCCAAGACCACCCGTTCCCGACGGTCAAGGTTTTCCTTGAGTTCCCGGGCGTCTTCGTGCTGGCCAGCCAGCAGCTTCCTCTTCTCGTTCAGCGAGCTCTGCACACACCAGAGAGAGCCCTTCAGCACCAGCAGCACCAAAATCCCTGCTCCCACCCCTCCTTCCTCCAAGCACCACCTCCACGGCTGGCTGCTAAGCTCCCAGACCCGCAGCCAAAAGCCTGGGAGAGGAGGATGAATCCTTCCTTATGGATTGAATGTGAATCCCACTGAATTGGACTCTGAATGTTCTAGTCAATGGGAGGCAGAAAGTGCTCCAAGGAAGTCAGTGAAACTTGCCTGAAAGCAACAACTACCAGGAAAACCCAGCTTTGTCTTTTCAAAAACCACCCAAAGAATGTTAAAGTGTGGCTTTAACTGAGTGGGTTATTCCAGGAGGCACAGCACCATCCAGGCTCTCCTCTGGCCATGGGGCACAGACAGGCTGTCCCCAGCACGGCCTTTCTGCGGTGAGACAAAAGCCACAGGATCCCCGACATTTATACAGACCGGGATCAAGGTTCCCAGGGACAAACCCTGCATTTGCTACTGCTCATCCACGAGCTCCAGGACACCTGTGCTGCCTTCCTGGCAGCCCTTGGAAGTCCTTGTAAGGTATGCTGTTGTGATGGCTGCTGCTGCCCCACACCCCAGTAAGGCCAGACACCACGGATACGTACCCGCTCCTCGCTGTTGGCATTTTCCCCCAGACTACTCAGAACATTCTCCACACGGGCCAGGCGTCCCGAGAGGGAGAGCAAGAGGTTCACCACCTTATCCAGATCGCCAATGAACATCTTGTACTTGTCAAACTCGTTGGGTTTGCACAGCGTGCTGATCAACAGCTCCACCTCCTCTCCGAGGGCATTATTCATCTTAATGTCTGCGAGCAGGCCCTCCTTGGCTTCCTTCAGGATTTCCAGTTTGTGGGTCAAGCTCCCGATGAGCTCAGCCTGTCAGAGGGGAAACACATTGCTACCATCACCCTGACCACATGGATGACGACAACAGGAGGATACGGCTGTGGTTCCTGAGGAGCAGGGTCATGTCAGCAACAGCTGACAAAGAAGATATAAAGGAGGAAACGGAGAGAACACTGGAATTCCTCATCTAGGACATTATCCAGGTAGCTGACAAAATTGTGTGAACATGTATGTGCTCCATGAACATTTATAGAAGAGATCTCAGATTTGGTGTACCATGTTCTGATACCCAGCTACCTACAGCTGAAAGATGTATGTTCTTTAAAACCTTCAAGTGAAAAGAGCTGCAGCCACATCTCTGGCATGTTCCCCACTCCCTGCCCCAGCCTGAAATGTCTTGAACTGTACAAAACAACTGCCTCCCACACAGAGACATCAGCGAAGAGTTTACACCAGTGATGCTCTAAGTTTACTCAGTGTCTGAGCAAAGACACAGAGAGCATAAACCCATTCTAAGAAAAATGCTGGCAACTATTTCTCTGCCAAAGAAAAGGAGGCCCCCGGGCTTCGGTTACTCCACAAACAGGCACATGTGCCCGAGATCCTAATTTCTGTTAGGATTTAGTGGAAAGACATATGCAAAAGCAAGTCTGTGGCCTGGGGCTCACAGTTCTTGCTTCCATTTACTCAGAACTGCGAGCAGGAAAAGCTCTTCCTACAAGGGGTGAGGATTTTCAGTGTCTGCAGCTTGTGCACTGCTGAGGCCCTGTTACCCGTGTGTTAATCTGCTGTGAAAATGTTCTCTCACAGTCCTGTTTCATCCAAACTGAGGGTCACTGCAGGCAGGAGCAGTCTGCTCCAGCAAAGGAAGGATCTTCAAACACTGGTGAGGCAGGGGGGATCACTGAGCTGGCCCTGATGGCCAGGGTGGCCTCTCAGTGGGGTCCCAAGGCTGGGCTGGCAGTGGAAGCACACGGCAGTGTATGGCCAGGCACCACTAGATGGAACTCTTGGCGTGCTTTGTTCTGTGGCTGCACTACAGCCTGCTCTCAGCTGCCACACACATGCAGAGGCTGAACAAAAGGTGAGGAATATTCCTTTGAAATAAACATCAGCTCCCCGGAATGACGACGAAGTCACTCCATTGGTGCAGGGTAGTTCAGGGGCAGAGGGAGCAAAGGTGGTACTAAATCAAAAGAATCTCCTTTCTGTGGATTCTCCCTTCAGCAGTACCCAGAGACAAAGCCTAACACCTGTCCTTCCCAGGGGCTGTGATGCTGTTCCTCCCTGCTCCAGGAGCTTTGCCCTCCAAAGCAGGAGGCAGGGACTGCTGGGAGTGACATACCTTTGTTCGGAAGGCGGGGGAGCTGGAGGGGCCTGCGAAATACTTTTGTGTTTGTTAATCAGTGACTCTCCTGCGATCCCAAATGCCAACCAACCTTTGCATGCTTACAGTGCAAATGAGCTCAGTTTAGCCACATGACCTCCCAGAGGAGCTGCTTCTCAGGTAACCCTTGTGAGAATGTTCTCGCACACAGACCATGAGCAAACACACCAGGCAGATGGTGCTCCCTGGGCCTAACCACTCCCATCTATTTCTGGTTTTCCATGCAAATGTAACCTTTAAGGCCTGGGACGCTCTCCATGGCAGGCTCACAGCTACTTGCAAGCCTGTCAGACGCTTGCAGCATCTTCATCTTGTTTAGTCACTCCCAATCCCTGTGGCTCCTTGGGATTTGGGAGCTAGGCAACATGTCTGTAATTACCAGGTAATTAATGTGAGACAACTACAGGGGCAAATTAGAAGGCCCTGCAAAAGCCCTGGAAGGCAGGACACAGAGGCCTCCAGCGAGAACTGGAGGGGCCATTCCTCAGTGAAACAGAGCCTCAACAAGAGAGGAAAATGTTTCCTCCCCTCCTGCCCTGCTCTCTCCCCTCCCAAGCCATCACATGGAGGTTGAGCCACTGAGGTACCGGTGGCTTTCAGTGGGTCAGAGAAACAGAGTGTGGGGGAAAAAGAGAAACCAATGTTTCTTTGGAAGCAATAAGTACAGAAAGCAGGTGAAATGGGTGAACTGGCTTCACTGAAGAGGAAAATCTTAGGGGAAAACCTTCTGCCCTCAGACAGTGCAGTCAGTAGCCAGACTCTGTTCCTGTTTCCAGCTGAGCTGGCCTTGTTCAAGTTGTTTCACCTCTCCCTTTTCCTTCCTTGCTACAGGACTGGGACTGCTCCTTACAGCCTGTACACCCAGCATTTGGCATGGGACAGGCCTGCCTCGGGGTGGTGGTGCAAGATTTGTACTCCAGTTTGCAGTGAGTACTCAGATCAACTCTCTTCATTCAATTTGGGTCACTCTAATGAAGCTTCAACGGTGGCCTAAACGCTCCCACGCAACTTGAGATTTGCCAAAAGCTGCCAAATAGAAATGCACTTCACTGTAGGGCTTATTGTTATTTCAGGAATGTAAGCAGCCAGTGATGGTGTGTGCTGAATTTACCTTCTTCTCGTTGATGTCCAGCAGCTCCTCTTCCTCACCTTCTTCTGGCAAGTCCTTGATTTTATTCAGCAGCTCTGCTTTGGGTGCTGAAACGCTGTAATAAGCAGGACAGGTGACCAGGGTGATGGGAGCTTCCTTTTCCTCTCTCCTACACCACAGTGAAGAAAAAGAAGGAGTTCAGTTCGAGCCTGACTTTTCCCCATGCGTAGATGGATGGTTTTCCATCACTGCCCGTTTGGTACCTTCCCAGTGTTATTACCCACAAGGACAAGGCGGATTCCTGCCACCAGAGGGTGGGTGTCAGCTGCTGTCAGATCCCAGCACGGCCCCTGGGTTTAAAGGTGACTGGTTACAGCCTTGGACAGGCTTTACCTTGCTGGGGGTCAGTCAGCACAGCTCGGCTGGAGGTGGCCAGACCGGCCATCTCAGCTGGCATCGTGCAGCACAGCTGATTCCTGGATGGTTCTCCAGCTGCCACGTGGCAGCTTCTATCTTAAAAAACCCCCACACTGGAGGACTTGGGCCGACCTTGCAGTAAGAAGGTCCCCTCAAGCCTCCTTCCAAAATCTGGCCTCTCATTATCTTTCTGCCTGCCATTATTTTCACACGGATTTTACTCTCATGTCTGTTCCTGCACTTTGGACTGAATTGCTTCAGCTTGCAAAGGTCCAGAGAGCAAAATCAAGTAACATCTCCAGGGCTGGTTCATCTCCTCCCCTGTTACGGAGCTCAGCATTGCTTTCCACACAGCCCAGCTCATGAGAAAGGGTATTTGGAACCGCCCTGCCAGGCCCTGCACCTGGGAACTGCGGAACTTACTCTCCACCAGAGCCCACCTGCAGAAATGCAGACACATTGGGCACAGGTTGGCCTTAAAAGTGAGGGAGTAGAGAGTTGTGCCAGCCCTCATCCCGATCCCACAGTGCTTACGTGTCTTCCCCAACAGCCGTCCTGCTGACTTGCTTCTGTGACATCTTCCTCTTCATGTTGTTCTCCTTCAGCAAGCTGGTTCCACTGGGGAAAATCCCTTCCATTAAGTCCATGGTAGTCTTCATTTTGGAATCTGGATCCAGGATATCTGCCAGAGACTTGTCTTTGTGGACAATTTCTTTTGCCAGAGCCTCTGACTTAATATCCTCTGGGGTCTTTTTCTTTGCCTTCACTGGAGGTACTGTGCTGAGTATCCCGGAGTCTGGGCTGGTGTTTTCCGACTCTGACTCTCTGGGGTCACCTTCAGGCTGAGTTATGGGCTGTGTATCAGTGCTTTGAGGCCCTTCAGAAGTAGCAGGTGACTGGTGCTGCTGGTCCACAGCAGATGGAGAGCTAGTCCTCTTTGCAGTTGGTGAGAGGGGCCAGTTATTTTCACCGATACTGGTGCCCAACCCTGTGATCTCCCTCTCAGCTGGGGCTTTGGGAAAGCTTTTGAAGCTGCTATGGAAAGAAAAATTCTGTGAGATGAAGATAAACCTATGACCCAGGACCATTGTGAACATGTGATGAAGGCCTACAACAAGTAAGTTTTCCTTCTCTCTCATTTTTGTGTCTCACTTCTCATTCCAACACAGAAGGGCGTGCAGTGTGAAGCTCCTGGCACCAGAAGCATTTCATCCCCCCAGCCTGGATGCTACTGGATTGTCTTTCCAACACAAAAAGAACCAGTGAGTAACAAGTCACTTTGTTTTCTGCTGACAGCTGGGGGACGTTGTGTCCCCCTACCTGGGAGTGCCATCCTGAGCAGCCCCTACCCATTTGTCCTTGTCATGTTGGAAAAGCCAATCACCGCTATAGCCCTGGCCAGATTCTTCCTGGAGGGATATTAGAGCAGCTTCCTGGGAGTGCAGGAAGCTGTGCTGAGTTAAACCAGCTGGGCAGCAAGCCCAAAGTCCCATCCTTCAGGAGAGTTGTCCTAGACAGCATGACTGTGACATATTTGTGTTGTCACTCCTTGGCAGATGGTCACTGTTTCATAACAGCATTGTTTTGTGCCAGGTCTAAAATGCATTCTGGGGGATTCTAACTGTTTGGATAAACCCATCATGGATTTTCACAGCTGTCTCTCAAAAACCAGTTACTGGAAGGAGTCAGCAGCCATTCCAACTCCTCATGCTGGAGCGAGTCGGAAGCGACCCCATGAAATCTGCAGGGAGAACCAGATCAGGAGACTTTCTCCTCCATAACCCCCTTTCCTGGGGGTTATAGGGGAGCACCTGCCAGTGGATATGCTGGTGGCCCACCGAGCTTTGTGCCCTGGTCTGGCCATGTTGTTTGACGATACTCTTGGCATCCAGGCAGTGAGTCTGTCTGTCCCTGTGCCCATATAACAAGCTCCCTGCCCGGCTGGCAGCCGGGGGGGTCTCACAGTACGCAGGGTCATTGCCATCTGTCTGAGCCCTGCATATCTTACTGTATATGGCCCTGCACCGCCCCAGACACCGCATTCCAGCCCGCCCTTACCTCGCACTGGCCTCCTCTGGGAGCCGGGGGGATTTGTCTCCAGCTGCCCCGTTCCCCTCAAGCACCATGGCTGGGGGGGGAGGTGGGAATTCCCCCGTGCCGTTGGCAGAAGTGCAAGAGCTGAGCTCGGGAAGAGGACGGGACGGTGGTGGCAGGGAGAAGGGCGGCTGGGAAGGTGCGACGAACACCTCGTCGTCCCCCTCGTCCTGCAGCAAGGGCGGGGGTGTGAGCTGCAGCCCCGACTCCGAGATCCGCAGCTGGGTGGTGCCTTGGGGAGAGGGAGTCTCCGGGTCGGAAGAAGTGCTGCTCTGTGTCGGCAGGGACTGCCACCTCTGGGACAGCTTGGGCCCGGCTGCTGGGAGAGACACCACGGCCCTCGCGGAGCTGTTGTCCTTGACCGGAGGAGCCCACGCCACTTTGGGGGGCAGGGATCTGTGGAGCAGCCCGGCCTTCCTTCTCCACACCATTTCTTCAATGGGAGTCTCTGGGGATCTATCCTGCACAGCATCCAGGGGTTGTGGCTGGAGATTCCCGTCGCCCTCAGGGGGAAGAGCCTCTCGTTTGGCATGGTGCTGTCTCAGAGCCTGGCCCTCGCCTGTGCTCTGGAAGTCTGAGGGAGCCTGGGTGGGTGTGTTGGGGGAGGGCTGGCCAGATCCAGAAGGAGTAAGGTTAAGGAACAAGGGTTTAAAGCCTTGCTTTTGCTCAGGATAGTGACTCCTTGCCTCTGTTGGGGCTGGGAAAAATGCGGAAGTCCTGCCATCTGGCCTGGAAAGTTCTGAGAGCTTGTGGTTCTCTGTCAGTGGGGTGGACCCAGCGATAACATCGCTGCTGCGGGGAGGGTGGGGATAGTAACTGGTGAATGCCAGTCTCTCTGAGTGGCTTCTTTCTTTCTTGCTGAAAGACCTAAACACCAAGAGACAGACCACGGTAAGATTAACAATTAATAATGAGCAGGAAAAGCTCTTGTGCACCTCCTTAATGAATCAATTATCAACCCTACCAGAGGCCAGTGTCTGTGCCTGCTGGTCTAGGTGAGGTGCAGCTGTGCTATGAAGCTGGAAGTCAAATCCTGAGCCAGATCCATTTCCACTCACCATCTCCCATCATTCTCAGTGCATGCATACACACACGTGTAGCAAGTATCACAACAATAACTCAATGGAAAAAAATTTAGGAAAACCTAATGCCTGGCTTCCTTTCCAGCCCTGGTTTCAATTTGGTTTGTTTCAGATGGGTCTAGTAGTAACTTCTGTAAGACAGATTATTTGACATTATCTACCATCAAACCCCATTCTCAATTGCTGATAATTCTAAGCTCTATGAGCCAAAAATTCCCATAATGTTATCCGGCTCCTGTTGGAAAGGTGCCATTAAAATGATTCAACTGCCTCCAAGAACAAGGCGAGGCCAAAAAATGCACTATTTTGACTCCAGAGAAAATTAAAAAAAGCTCCTACAGCCTTGGAACCCTGTAAGAAAACAGAGCTCCCTCAGACAGGCAGGTGTGACGAACCCCAGAGCCAACACATTCCATCTGCGAGCGGATGTTAAGGCTGCAAAGCCAGTGGGGTGAGTTATTCCTTCCAGGTCTTTTAGGATGTTCTCAGGTGAGTCTGAGAAACAGCGTCTAGCCTTTGGAGTGAGGATCCTGCTCGGAATCCAGAGCCAAACCTACTTGCCTGTACGGCTATTTAGCTGGAAAACAAACTGAGCAGTAATAATGACATCAGCAGATGGCCTGAAAACATGAGGCTGTACCATAAAACAATAAAACACAATAAAGCTCTACTGCCAATATATTTTCTGTTCTTGAGATGCATTGTTCAAACACTCCCAACACTGCCAATCTGTGATGCTGGAGACTTGGGCCCCAGATTTGTTCCCAGATGTACTGGTACAATACAAGAGTAACTCTGTCAAAAACGTGTGTTGTTCCGGCTTTATTCTGGTGTGACTGAGAATAGAATTTGGCAGCCTGTGCCTGGGGCTGGGGAAACTTCCCAGACAGGCTGCTCTTGGTATTGTCTGTGGTTCCTGGACAGTAGCAGTGTGTATTCTTTTCAGATGCTCAGTGTTCCTCAGGAACACCAGATGGCAATTCTCTAATTGAAAGATCTCTCCTACTGTGGAAGCAACTGTGGATTCTAAAACTGATGGAGCAACACCCGTTCCCAATATTGTGTGGCACCTGGGGAGCAGTGGGAGAGCACATGTGACTGCACCAAGTGATTGCTGACCAAGGGTTTTTCCTAACTTTACCATCTGACAGTTTTCTTCCTCCTCGAGCGAGAGCTGTGGTAGGGGTGGTCCCATCTCCTCTGCAGCACATTAGGCAGCTGTGTCCCATGGAAACTGAGAAACATAACCTGTACTGCCTGGTGTTGCCTCCCTGCATGGAGAACACTTCTCCTATCCTCATTTTATCTTTTGGAAAATCCAATTCTGAGCAAGAGGGGAAAGCAACTCCTGTCTCCCGGCAGAAATGTGCTTGCGAAGCATGAGGGATGCCTGCGCAGCAGAAACACCACAAAACTGCTAATAACCAATAATCTTTGTGCAGTGAAGCAGGAAAAGGAGAAACCTGCATTTTGTGCCCCAATAAACTTGTTTTCAGTCTGGGTGTTCAATCCCATTACTTGGAAAATAGGTTGGGGAAAGAAAGAAAGAAAAGGAAGCTGCAGGTAGTGATCGAGCAGCAGGATGAAATGCCATCTGCAGGAAAAACAGGGAGGCAGGAGCAACTGAAACAGCTGCATTGCTGTCTTAGGAAAAAATATGGAAAAAAGTTATTCCAAATCACAGCAAATGGGTGTGTTTGAAATAAACCTAAAAGGATGTGCCTGAAGGTAGATTGGGTCCCTTTAAAACAACATTTATGTCTTCTTAGGGGCAAACATGGCCAGAAGTAAGACCCAGCCAGAGTAGGAGCCTTCCTCTGCTTCCAGCTGTCACTGCGTGCCCCAGAGCTGTGTGGAGAAACCTTTGGAGACAGCAGTGTTAACTCCCACTGGGAGCACAGAGCAGGCTGGCATTTACTGCAAGTTTGTGAGGAACAGAGCTCCTTTGTGAACAATTCTTTTAGTCCCTCTTGATGGTTTTTACTGTAATGGGAGTTGGTTGTTTGGGCACTCAGGGCTTAGGGCAAACATCTATTTATTATTTAAATGTAAATACAGCACGATCAACTTCAGTTCTAGTTAACTTCAAAACAATCCACGGCTAAGTGGAGAGTTACGTAAATCCTAAGACTATGAGTTTTGTGATTACACTTTTCTATTTTTAAAAGCATTTCTCTCTCCCCCTGTTGCTGAGCAAAACATCCTGCCTGCACGAAGGGAAGCAGCCTAAAGGCCAGCTCCCACTTCAGGAAGATGGGGGAAATCTCCTGGTTTTAATCCATGCAAATGTTCCCTTGCTTTTGGGGAGGCAGCTGGAGAAAACCATCAAGGTATTTTTTCCTTTAGAACCCTTCAATAGTGATGGCATGTGGATGTGAGTTGCAGCAGCAGATCAACCACATTTTGGAATATTTGTAACTTGAAATTTGCTGCAGAAATGTGGCCCAAGATGACATGAGGAGAACTTGATAGTAAATGAATGTCTGTAGTGAAAACAAAGCTCACAGCAACTCCTCCTAAGTGTGCTGGGCACAGCACACCCAGAGCTGTGTCTGTGCAGGTGTTTTCCCTAGTTTGGCGTGAGACAATCCATGACAACTGCTGGATGGCCAGAGCTGATCCTGCAGGGGCAGAGGGGACATGGACACACTCCTACCTGGCTCCTGCGCTGACCACGTAGAAGGGATCCCTCACCATGGGGCCGAATTCACTGCTTTCCCTTCTCAGCAGCTCCTGGAGTACAAAGACAGCATTAGCAGCAAGCAGAAAGCAAACAAAATACCAAAACACTGATGAGAATGCTTTCTGAAGCCTGAGAGCAAGTCATTCCCCATGGCTATCCATTCCTTCCTATCTCTAAACAAATTCCTGCAGTGACAGTGCAACGTGATTTGTAGGCAGCTTGAAAGGAACATTTAGCACTGTACACAAGGCCCTCAAAAACGTACAGTGAGGCAGAGAAGTCTGCTGCTAAGCTGGAAACAAACACTTCCCACAAAAAATCTGAAAAGACCACAAATAAATAAATAAATAAAAATCCCCCTGTTGGTTTGGCTTTGTCCCCCATGCTTATAGCTGTGGTTTTGCACTGGAGATGGATCAGAAAGAAAACTAATGACAAAAACCCACTTAAACATATACTTCCCTTTCAAACAGACCCTATGGATTGGTGTGTATGTTGGAAGACAAATCTAAGAGCAGGGTTTTCACAAGTGCCTTGCTGCCTGTGGGACTAAATGCTCATTCCAGAAGTGGATACAGCTAAATCCCTCTGGAAAACAGCAGTAAGGGCTCTCCCTTCTTCTATACTTGAACTAAGACCCTGTGAACAGGTCTGCAGGGCTGTTCACCCTCTTTCTCAAGTTGGTTTCCAACGGGCAGAACCTCTGGTTTGGCTGCTGAACATATGAACGATTAAAAATGAGCCAAAAGGGGGAAATAAAGATCTCAAGAACAGCCCTGTACATCCTGCCTGAGAGAGGGGAAAAATGAACTGGGGCTGTTTGTTGTCCAGCCTGTCACTGGAAAGTACATTTTGGTGATTTTTCTCTCTCTGGATGTCTGGTTTTGTTGCTGCTCTGACTGTTTTGGGAGGCAGAGGAAGGGTCACAGCTTGGCTTTCAGCTTAACTCGTTCTGGACCCTTACTGAATGCAAGGCAAGCGTGACAAAATGGCACAGAGATGAGCCTGATGCCTGGCTGGGGTGGAAAAATACCAATGGTGGGATGAGACAGGAGTGGTTCTGGAAGTGCATTCCGGTCACTTGATATTCACAAGCTGCTTTTTTTAACTCCCTCTATTTAAAGACGTGGCGTGGGAGCTGAGGGCTGCCGAGGGAGGACGTGGAGAATGGAGCACACGGGGAGTTTGGGAGGGTTGGGCCTGTTTGTGAGGTGCTGCCCAGAGCCTCCTCCATGTCACTTGATTCGGGATCACTTCGTTGCACCTGGAGAATCTGTTCTGGGCCAGGAGCAAGTGCAAGAGCACAAGGAGATGTCCTGGATCTCAGCTGCCCTGTAAGTATGTAAGCCTCTCCAAACACTCAGCCTATTTGGAGCGAGGAGCCTGTCCACACATTTTGGTAGTTTGCATCCCTGTTTGTGATAAATGGAGCTTGGCGTGGAAACAGGGATGGGGCAGCAGACCCACCACTGCTGCAAATCTGTGTGGCTCAAGCAGTTGCAGCTCCCTAAATAGGCCTGAACAGATTTCAGCTCAAGAGCTGGTCTGGGCAGTTGTTCTTTAAGAATTTAGCCTGGTTCTACTGTTTACCATCCTCAGAGTCAGTCAAATTCCCCATTTGTGACATCAGTGCAATGTTCCCAACCACCAAGCAGGGGACATGGAGCAGCCAGGGTCTCTGCTGAGTTTTCTCTGTGATGTTTCCCTCCAGGGCTGGAGGCAAAACACAATGGTTATTTGGCAGTGCCTCTGCCCAGCACTTCCCAGCACTGTCAGGCACAGTGGGAGCCAGGGTAATTCCAAGCAGACTTTAATCCTCTCTGCTTTGCACCAGGAAAACGGGCTGAGGCAGGACAGCAGCAACAGTGAATTGCCACCTTAATGGGACACCCCACCAGAAAGGTGCTCAGTGCTACTCCAGTGCTGCTGGCAGGTAAGGACAGGGATGTCTGAGTGGAATGTCCAGAGCAGCAAGGACATGTGCACACTACCAGCATATGCACTGAAATCCCAGCATCCCTGCCATCCCTGAAACAGCCCGAGCAGGGAGAAAGCTGAACTCCACCAGCAAGCTTTTAATTTAAGCGCAGGAAATTGTGTCTGTCTCAGCAGGCACTGAACCTTGCTCTAATCAACAGAGTAATTGCCATGACTGAACACCAGCCTGTTCTCTGACATCCCCCCCATTCCCTGGATGCAAGAGCCCTGCTTGTGGGTGCACACGACCCCGTTCCCACATACCTGGTGTTTCTTTTCTGCCGTGGGAGACGATCTGGAACGTACGTGCACAGGGACCGGCTGATTGTCGTACCTATCGAGCAGGTCTTCCACAGACACTGATTTCCCCGATTTCCTGGTGGTGGAGGGTGTTTCAAAGACCTGCTCCTGGTTCCTGTAGCGAGGCTGGCCCTGCACACCCAGCAGGTCTGTCTGGGTGCCTTTGGTGAGCTCTGTCCTGGCTCTGTAATCCCGGCACCTCTCTGCTTTTGGCCGGCTTGTGCCCAAGCTGTCCTGGCGCCCTGCCTTCTCATCTCCACTCGTGTCCAAGTAGTCCACCAGCCCAGGAGGAAGGGTAGAAGACATCCGTCCTGTCCTGGATATCCGCTCTAGGGACTCTCTCCGGCGGTAAAGGTTCTGGTCCTGCAGGGAATTCATGCTGGAGGCAGAGGAAAGGCTCTGGCTGTCTGTGCCCCCCACCTGCAGGTAGGAGCTGTGGGAACGCTCCCTCAGCAGCCCCACGTCCTGTGAGGACGGCCGTCTCCCTGTTTTCCGCTCGATGTAGTCGGCGAGGGCGCTCTGCTGGAGCTGCTTGAGCTCGGGCTTGGACAGGCTGGCTGTGGAGGAAGCCTTGCCATCCCTCTCGAAGATCTTCCGCCGGTCAGCCACCGTGTTCTCCGGGAAGACAAAATGGATGCTCTTCTTCTGGAAGGAGAAGGGCGACGGCTCCCCATCCGAGATGCCCACCTCGTTCATCTTTTCCGGCTCCGAGTAGGAGCGCTTCTTCTGCTCTGCTGTCAGCCGCCTGCGGCCCCCGATGCGCAGCACGTGCTGTGTCCTGGCGTAGTCCAGGGCGGAGAGGCCGTCTTCCGTGGGCGTGATGCTGTGCCTCTCCTTGGGCGTGTGCGGAGATGATGCCGTGCTCCTCATGCCCACGTGGGCCGAGGCAGGACGCTGGGGCATCCTCTTGGGAGCGCTCCCGAACGGGGGGCTGATGCGACGGAACGAGGTGGCCCTCAGCACCCTGGACTGGGCGTCCTTAATGCTGTTCCTGTAGGCCCTGTTAAATGGCGTGTCCAGCTGCGACCCGTGGGCGTCCTGGATGTTGTCCTTCCAGAGGATGTCCTTCTCAGGCTCCCCTGCCAGCTGGAACGTGCTTTTACTCCGCGGCAGCTGGGCCGCCCTTCCTTGCCCCTCATTCTCAGGACACAGGCCGTAGTAGTCAGTGGGTCTCGCCTGCTTCACCGAAGCCACCATCTGCAGCTCTACAGGGCGCCACTCAGCCTCGTCCAGCTTCCCGTTCCTGACGGAGGGGCTGGAGCCCCTGGCCAGCTCCGTGGGCAGCTTGCTCCGCACATCCTCTGGGCTGAGCAGGGAGCCCCTCGTGCCAGAGGGCTGGCTCGTCCTGCTCGGCCCGTAGTGCTGGCCGAAGCTGGGAATGCCAGCGCTCTGGGGCCGGGGGGTGCTCTGCTCCCGTTGCTCAAACTTGCTGACCTTCTCCAGCACCGAGCAGCGGGGCTTGCCAGTCTCTGGTTTGCCATAGGGAAAGCTTTGGGTGCTGCTGGAGCTGAGCCGGCTCCTCCCGAAATCTGAGGTCTTTGGGTGCTGTGGAGAAGGAGGCTCTTTGCACTTTGGCTCGGCAGCATGGAACAGAGTCACGCTCACATCCTCCTCCTCCTGCCTCGTGAAGGCCTGTGGGTCCACATCGCTCCACTGTCTGTGGCCCTGTCCCCTGTGATCCTTCTCCTCTTTGCTGCTGCTGTTCAGGAAGGACAGTTTGGTGTTGGAATAACACTCTCCTGCTTGCATCTCTCTTAACTCGGAGCTGCTTTGCCTCCTGGAGCTCTCTGGGATGTTCTGCAGGGAGGAGAAGCTGTACTGCTTGGCCTTGCTGTGACCCCACTGGTGGTGAGCAGCAGCTTCTCTCTCGTTTAACTGCATGTTGCCATTTTTGTCCTCCTGGGATCCAGGTGTCCAGTCCTCTTTGGGCTGGTAATGGGATTTTCTCTCACTAGCATCCCTCAGCTGGGGCTGTGGAGCCTGGAAAATGGGTTTGGAGGCCTGGGTGGTACCTGGGGTCTCACGGTGGCTTTGTGCTGCCTTGTAAAGGGGTAACAGCTCCTCCTTCCGTGACGTGGCCAGGGAGAGCTCTGGGCCTGCTGCACTGGGAGGTTTCTGCTGGAGAAGTTTGGCTTCCAGCTTTCTCTCAGCTGCAGGGGGCTGGTAGAAGACGGTCGATCTGTTTGTAGTGCTTTGGTTTCCATTCTCATCAAAGCCCAGGGTGCTGCTGGCTGTGGCCTTGTCATAAGAGACTGGGAGGGATGGAGAGTACCCGCTTTCTTTGGCCAGAGCTGGGTAAAGCGTCCCGGGATTGCCCACGGAAGGCTGGGGCACCTGGGCATAGTGCGGCTCTGGGGAGGGCACGGCATAGACACCAGTGGGCAGCAGGGGCTGCCCCGGCTGGGCTGCCTGGGAATAGCTCTGCTTGGGCTTCATGGTGGGGCTGCTCTCCGGGCTCTTCTCCACCACAGTGTGCAGATGCCCATCTCCGAAGGGGGGTTTCAGCAGCGGGCCCTGGGACAGGGAGCTGATCAGCGGCGGCCAGGCCCCTTTAGGCTGGGTCCTGCCAGGCTTGCTCAGGTCCAGGCCTGCACCCGAGCCGGGCCTCTCGTGGTGCCTGATGGCCGCGTAGCTGTCACTGCGAGCGGGAGGCAAGGGGGGTCCCCTGGGGGGTTGGCTCTTGCTGTCGGGCTGTGCCCAGGAGGGAGCCGTGCCGTGCCGGCCCAAGCCGAGCAGCCTGGTGTGGCCACGGCCGTCCAGCGAGGCCCGGGCATCGCCACTGGGGAGCAGGGAGGGCTTCACCTCGTACTCCTCGGAGACGCGCTGCTGGGCGTCGTACACCGTCCGCACGTACCTGATGTCCGCCTGCCTCAGGCCCTCCTGCAGCCCGGCCCGGCACTGCGCGCTGTCCGGGGAGCAGCACTGCTCCTTGCTGAACGGAGCGGCGGGATACTCGGGGATGCTGGAGTTGGTGGAGAAGGAGCTGTAGGCAGAGTCCCTCTTGCTGTGCAGGTGGGAGAGCTGGTCGATGCTGTTGGTGGATTTGGCTGGGGACAGGTGACAAGGGTGGTAGCCGGGGGAGGAGTGGTCCAAGCTCTCCATGCTGCCCCGGGAGCTGTACTGATCCGGACTCCTCCTCAGATAGCCATGCTCGTAGCCAGAGAGATCGCTGGTGGAGGAGCTGGGGGAGAGCGAGACAAGACTGAAAACCCACTGACAGCAGAGGAGAGGCACAACGACTTATAAGTGAGCTCAGAAGCAAGATGTTTAGTTTTGAGATGAAAACCCTTATTTGGGCCTTACTCCATCCCCTGTTTGGAGTCATCCCAGTTCACAAAGAGGAACTGCTTGACATTGCAACACATGGCTCTTATTTACCACAGAAGGGTGGGAGGGAAATACAGACAGAAAGACAGTGCATCTCTGGAGCCAGGGAGGATCAACCCCACCCAGCAAACCCATCCAAAGCCCTCGGAAAGCTGAATGAGCACCGATGCCACTGAGGAGGAGGAGAGGAGCACGAGGGGCGTTCTGGGGGGAACCTAATCTCTTTCTTTTTTTCCCATTTCATTTCTTTTTATGGAGATGAGGGCTACGCCCTGGCAGGCTTCCTGGAAATTCAGCTGTCCCAAGGATAGTTTGCTTGCTGCGAGAAAACTAAACTGACAAGACAGGGAAGAGATGCATGTGTTTGTGCCTGGAGGAAAGTGGGGTGCAGCCACAGACGCAGTCTGAGAACGCCCAGGAATTCTGCACAGCTGCCTACTCATGTAGCTCAGCAGGTGCAGGTACACCTTGGCACCTCCTCTGAGATACACATATGTCCAAAGAGGATTTGTGGCTGCCAGAGGTGTGATCAAAAATAAGGATATTCAGAGATCTTTCTATTTGTGGGGAGGGAGCTCCTTGTGCTGGCCACAGTTCTTTTTTTATATCTCACAAGGGGCCACCACAGATTTCTGTGGAGTTTGCCCTGGCTGATCTCCCCTCCCAGATTCAGGCAAATGCAGTGAGGATCAGGGAGTGTAACCTGAGGATTTCACTCTTCTTCCCTCTGTTCCCAGCTGCCCTTCCTCAGATACAGCTTTCTCTAGTTCCCTGTGCAACTACATGCACTGTCCTGGCAGAGCCACAGAGAAGCAGCAGGAAAGGACAGGCTGTGGCAGGGCAAGGCACAGAGCTGGAAGCTTCCTCCAGATCATATCCCAGCCAAAGGATGGGTGGTGTGGAGAAGGCTGCTGAGGATGAGGAAGGGCAGAAGGAAGCCTGGTCACAGCAGCTCTGCAGAGGGGTACAGAGGAACACAGACACAGGCAGGAAGAGATGGCAAATGTCAGATTAAAGCTGCTTTATCCATTTAAATGCACCACTCTATTTTGGATTCAAGTAACCATGTCCCTGGCAATGCCCAGCACAGCCCTGGCCAGCTGGCCACTAGATGTTCCCCGTGCTCCTCTTCAAGCAGCCAGGAGACAGAGCTGTGCTGCCCAAGGCTCTGCCAGGAGCTGTGCCTGGGAAGCAAAGCCCCTCGGTGGGAAAGGAGTTTGCTCCAGCATGAGTTGTACTGAGGCCACAGACCAATACACATTTCTCCTGCAACCATCCCCTCGCTTTTTTCAATGCTCTGTTTTCTCCTTCCTCCCCTCTGCCAAGGCTCAGTCCTGCCTGTAGAAGAAATGATGTCTCAATCCCACAGCCTATAAGGAGAGTTTGAAACCCTTCTGCCTTTCCAGGGAAAATCCTTCAAGGGCAGAATTTAAACTTGTCCCTCCTCCAGTTGCCCCAGTGCTGAACGTGCCAGAAACAGCCCCGACCTGCAGGGCACTGCTGCCCACCTGCCTCAGCCAGCATCTCCCCACCACATCTTCTGTCTCCCTTTCCTTCACTCCACAGCTGTGTAGTGCTTACCTGGAGTGGTAGGACTGATGCCAAGGGGTGCCAAGCGTACCCTGAGATATTTGCATCATGCTGGGATCGGGTTGGTTCTCCGCAAGTTTGGTTGAATGCCAGGAGTGAGGTCGACCTGGAGTTTCACTCCGCCTGGGTGGAAGCAGAAGGATTTTGCACATCAGCAACAGGCCAGCTCCTCCAAGGAAGAGGAATGTGAAGTAGCACCGACATTCAACACCAACATCTAAAACTGCTCGTGCTCACTCGTGTTTCACTGCTACTTTCTTGTCTATTCCAAGCAAATCCCGCAGCAACCACGGGATGTGTCTCTGACATTCACACAACACATTCCCCCTTGGATTTCCAAGGCAAGAGGCAAGTGGGTTATCACTGAATGCTGGGGGTCTTCCCCTCTACCTCCCAGACAGCCTCACCCCTCGGGGCCAAGCCTGGGGGCCCATTCCCAGGGATCAGTTTACAGCAGTTTACACACAATGCAGGGTGGCTGATGCGGTTCTTATGGATGCTGGAGGAGGATTTCTCCAAAGGTTCCCTTCATTTTAAAGCAAGGACTGGCAAAGCCATCGAAAGAATCATATGCCACGAGGGGGTGGGAGCCTGCACAAGGCTCTTTTGATCTCTCCTAAAAACTCAGGAGAGACATGACAGCCAAGCTCCAGCAGTGCGTGTCCCTCGCATCCCACCCCGGCTGGACAGCTGTCCCCAGGGTGTGTCCCCAGGCACGGCTGGCCCTCAGTGGCTGCAGGTACCAGCGCCAAGGCCTGGCCCCGTCAGCTCTGAGGAGAAACAACCCACCAGCAGCCTTATTTAAAGCACAGAGTGGTGCAATGGAAAGTCAAAGCAGGGGATTAGTGAGTCCCTTGGACAGGCCACGCAGATGCTTCCTTGCCCCAGCCTTTGGGCTTGTCCTCAATCCTCTGCTGCTTTCCAAGGGGGATCTCTCCTCTGCTCTGCAGTTTCTCACTCTTCCTGTGAGAAGGAGGAGCAGCATTGGATCTGGGTACCACTGAAATGTGGCAGCCTGCAGGATAATGCTGACTAAATAAATGCAACAGGAGGATATAACACACCTTTAAGGTTCTGTCTCACTGAAAATTCACAGTACAGCATGTCCTTTACAAGTCAGGAAAGAGATTAAAATGCCCTTGGCAGACGTAACCCAGACACCAAGAGAGGACTCTCCTACTGCCTAAGATTGTGAAAAGAAACGATACAGGAAAGTGTACAAAGCTAAAAACGGTTGTTAGGGTCAGGTCCTTTCCTAACACCAGTTAACACTGGCACCCGGATGGAAACGAGAGTGAGAAGCAGAACCATTTCTCCAGTGATTTTTCCATGCAGATGTCAGAAGTGCTGGTCATTCTCTCATCTGCTAGAAGAAGAAAGAAAAAGGGACATGCTTTTCCTTTTAACATCTGTTGTGGCAGATTGTCTCAAGGAAAGAGGTCTGCAGAGGGCAAGCTGAACCCAGCACCACTTTACATTTACATGTGTAGGTGTGTATAAGACAGACCTCTTCTGTTAAGCTCCTTGCCCAGAAAGCAAGGAAGCTGGAAACTGTCAGATGGGAAGTTGACAAAACTGTTTATTAAGAATAACCCACATTCTTGCCTTTGTCTCAGGAGGTTGTAGGATTTAAAAGTACAGAACTGTAATAACAACAACAACAACAAACCAACCTCATCACCTTATTTTTTATATATTCCCAAGGGCTGCACCTGTACTGTACTTGCGAAGGTGTCTGGACAATCTTATTACCAAAAAATTCCCCACTTCAGATAATAGAGGAAGTGATCCCTCTATTGTAAGTGCCAAGGCTGGAAAAAGAGACTCCAGGTTCCTCATGGACACCTCCAGTGATCAGATAACCTGGGCATCCAGGTCAGGTTGGCCTCACGACAAATGCGTGGGAGAGAAGATACCTGGGGAAATCAGTGGACCGTGATGCAATGCTGGCACCTAAATGGCAGCTGTTAACACTGATTGCAGACCTGATACTGCCAAATCCACCCTGTACACTGGAAAACCAAAGGGAAAAGGAGAGTCTTTAATCTTGCCCAGCTGCTGTTATCTGGGTGCTCCCTGCTGGTCCCAGCGTTTGCAGGTGGAAATGTGCCCGGCCCATTAGAGGCTCCTCGAGGCAGCCTGGCACAGGCTGGATGCAGTCTGGGCTGCAAGGACCACACTCACATCTCTGAGGCCCTTCCCCAGTAACAGCTCTGCAGCTTTCTCTTATTAGGAAGAGCTGAGCGTGCTCTTCTCTGTAATCCCTGGGTTTTATATTTTGTATGCAAAACAGGAATGGAACTTTACAAGGATACCTTGGCACAAACACTACAAATGAATCAGCATCAGAGGCTTTCTTCACAGTGTAACTGAAAGGCTGAGTTATCTTTTTCCCAAGGTTGCAAACAAAACCATCCAGAACAGAGCATTCAGTGTGACTGCTGTTCTTCACATACTGTTCCTCGCCGATTCCCGAGCACGCACACAACCCGAGCGCTCTGCAGTCCAAAAGTACTCCAGCCCAGCACCCTCCAGGAGTGCACAGATACTCTGGTGTGAAAGGCCCATCTCTAACAAAAGCACACAACCCAGCTTCCTCAAATTGCCATTTGCCCCCTTCCTACATCCTTAGAAAGCTAACTGCAATCCCTGTGGATGTGCCCTCAAAGCCGTGTGCCCAGGTGGCTGTGTGGGAGGTTACTGGAGCTGGAAGGGACAGCCATGGCCTGGAAGGGATAACCATGGCCTAGCCCACCATCTGGGGAGGTAGGAAGGGATGGGGCCCCTGCAGCACAGACCCTCTTCCTGTAGGAAAGAAGAAAGGTTAGGATGTGAGTGCAAAGCTTGTGCCTCCTGACTGCGACCCCAGGCACTGAGTCACAAGGGAATGAGCCAAGAGGGCAGTGCCCATCCTCACCTCGTCCTCCTCACAGTAGGAAACATTTCAAGCTAGTGATAATTCTAACCTGACAAAACCCACATGGCAGAGGCAGGATGTCCTAAGCTGTGCCACACTGCATGGAGCAGCAGGACCTTTGTACAACCTGATCCCAGCAATTCACCTGTACTCTTCTTCCAGGGTGACTGCACACCTGCATCCACAGAAACCATCTGAATTCTCAGCAGCGTGGACCTGTCTCCAAGATGGACACATCTAAAGGAGCGTGAGCACAACAGGGAGACATTTTCCAGACATCCAAACGTGCTGCTGCAGCCCCTCTGCCTGGCTGTTGGGCAGGAGATGAAGGAAAACTAAAGCACTCGGAAGCCTATTAGGATTTCGACAGAGTGAGGCAACAATCTACTCAAAGCCATGTCGCTCTTAATTAAGGTTCAGTCATGGCTCTAAAAATAAGCAGAACAGACAAGGCCAATTAGAAAGGAGTCGGACCAGAATGGCGTCAGCTTGATGTGTCTTTCACTAAATCTCTCTTTTTAGGCTCACAGAGCCCTTCTGGTAAATTCTGGGGCAGGAGAGGTCTGGAGTGAGCTCTGTCCCTTCACAATTTTGACTAAAAAGAAGGAAGACTCCTTAGAGAGAACTGAAGTGTATGAAATGATATTTCACATGATGGATCTTGGGCAAGAGTGTCTCCTCATCTATAAAGGAAAGGGAGAATTGTGTTGCAATAGCCCAGGCCCTGAGTGCCATGTGGGAACTGGGAGACAGGTACTGAGCTTCCTGAAGTCTCTCTCTGATGAGGAAGCAGAGAATCAGAGGTTTCTGCTCAGATTCCCTACGATTACCATCACCAACTCTTTGAGAAAAACTCCCCACCATGCCCCTGGAAAGAAAATCCCTGTGTGGAAGCAGAGATGAGAACCATGTATGTGGATCTACAGCCAGATTTTTTCTACTGGTTTTTCCTGACAGAAGTGCTTTCCACCCCAGGCTGCGGATGGAAGTGCTGGGATTGCTCCAAGGTGATGGCAGCTGTGAGCAACGGGTGCTCCTTCCTTGAACTTAGGAACAGTCAAACATTGTAATTAATGATTACTGGTCCTGCATGTCACACCTCTGTGTTATCACGTTTCTCTGGGAACCCCCAGGCTGCCTTATCCAAGAAGGGGGTATTTATCCATTTTCCAGCAAAGGTAACGGAGCACAGGGCTCGGAGCCGCTTCACCTTCCCTTTGCCCCAGCACAGGGCTGACAGGCAATATTTAGACTGGGGACTTTTCCCTACACAAGGAAAGGGTCCCACTGGCATTCCCTGACACTAACCAGACACAGGCTTAAGCGGGAACAGAGGTGATGTATACAAACTTCACTCTGGCTGATTACTGGATTCAAGGGCTTTGTCCTACCAGGATCTTCTGGCAGCTTTCTATTTTAAAGACAGTATTACCAAGTAACATGACAAGTAGGATTTAAATTGCAAAATAAGGAGTATTTCTGATCTCTATGTTGAAAAAGTGCTTGCCACCAGGATAGAGTCCCCCAGGACTGCAGCTTAGACATGCAGAAGCCAGCAGAGTCTCCAGCCTGGTACTTAGAGCATGTGTAGGCTACAGTGAGGAGCTGGGAAGCACTGGAAGACTCTCTGCAACTTTCCTCTTCTTGCTATGATTTTTCTCTGTTTCCTTTGCTGGAAAAACAGGAAGAAAGCACAGATGTGGAAAAGAAGCAGCTGACTTGACTTACAGTCTTTGAGAAAGACCCTATTATTCCCTGTCTTCTCCAGGGATTCACATCACCTCTCAGAGCACGGGTGGAAAATCCCAGCAGCCAGAGCCTGCAGCGGCTTTCCCTGCCCATGGCTCTGCAGAGCTGCACTGATTTAGCCAGACTGATGAACCAGCCCAATGGGCTCAATTCAAATAATTTTTTCTCATTCTTGTCCAGTCAGTAAATTAGTTAAAAAGACAGAAACCCAAGCATAGCTTGGATTCTTTCACACCCCGATATCCAACACACAGCAACTTGCAACAGGAGAGACTTGGAAACAATGGAAGGAATGTGTTTTCCCGTCTCCTTCGGTGCTTTGGAGGAAGTGGGTGGCTGGCAGCAGGAACGCTGCCCTGAGAGCCCGATTATCCAACGGGAACGTGGACAATGAGGCACGGCAGGTAACCAAGGGGACTCTCGGGGCAAGCGTTTCAGGCAGCAGCTGGGCTCTCCTCTGAGCCACAGGGCTACAAATCACAGGCAAGGCTCCACATCCAAGTGCTCCTGTAGGGATGATAAATGGGAAAGAAGCAGCAGGTCCTCTAGGTGGATGTATGGGGGTGTACACGTGTTTGGGGGGGTAAGAGCGAGTCTGCAGAAAGCGAACCTGGGGGGAACCACACCCTGTGCTGTGGCCAAAGCAAAGGCTGCTGAGTCTGAAATACCCTCCCACACTGAAATTTTTATACATTAAAGCAACTTCCTGCTTGTAACCAAAGCTCCAGCCCGACTTAAACTGAGTGCATGCACACACAGCCTCTGACACTGCTGGAGAAGTAAAGCAAAACATTGGCTTTGCACCCAAAGACAAATTAATCCAAGTGAAATGCTAAACTTTGGAGCTTCTGTGAAGATCTGCTACTAAATTGATGGGCAAGAAGGATTTTCAGAGGGCATATTCTGAATGATTCATTGCTATAGGAAGGTGGTGGATGTCTGGGAGCTCCTTTCCCATATTTGCCGTGGGTCACATACCTGGGGAACTGCAGAGTCCCACTCCACAGTCAGAGATAAATCTCTCTTTGATAAAACTACCCTGAGAAGAGAATTCAGCCTCTAAAATCTGCTGTAGCCGAGGCTGGGCAGGACCAGCATTTGTAACTGCAGTGGCCAGAAGATGAAGCATCTCCACTAAGGTCAGGGAGTTTGCTTCAGAGGTGTGTCCTTGCTGCTAAGATCAGAATGTGACTCCACATGTCACATTCCCTTCTCAGTTGCTCACTCACAGGACACATCTCCTCCAGCTCCAGGAAATGGGCGCAGCTTCAAAAGTCAAGGTCTGGTCCAAATGCAGTGTTGCCAATAGAAGGCATTGCTTTGACTTCATGGTGCAAACCTCAGAAGACTGAGACAAAAAATCTATGAGGTCATGCAGATTACACCTGACTGATGTAAGAGGCCCTTCTGATGCTAGCAAAAGCTCTGCCTGAGTAAATGCTGTAGGATTTGGTCCTAAACTGCACGGACAAAGGAAGGGAATCAGGCTCTGCCACAACACCAGCCAATCCAGAGCAATTCAGGAAACGGATTTCTGAAGACATTTAATTGTTTAAAACTGCAGACAGACATTCAGCAACCATGAATGCCAAGCTCCCACTGAAGCTCCCAGGCTCAGAAGAAGCCAGGTGATTTTGGAAAGCCAGGCACCTCAAGCTGGAGAATCACAGTGGGCTTACGCCACTTCTGTGGAGATATTTTGGTCCAGCATCTCTGTTGACCTTTACCAGCACTGACAAGAGCTTCTGAGGAGAAAGGACACCTCTTCCAGGACTCCTTCCCAGCGAGTGCCCCTCAGGCACATCGGCAGCCAAAGCAGAAACTATTTTGCACCCAGCCCTATGCAGATGGACATCCAGCTATGCTGATGGTCCAAAGGGTGAATTCATTTCCCTGGCACTGTGCTGAGGGCAAGAAAACCTTGGGAAAAGGTTGCTGTGAGGTTAAGAAACAGCCCTGGACCTCCTCCACCACAGGCGCTGGGGATTCCCACTGCTCCATCATGGAGTTTGCCAGCTGCTCCCAAGGAAGAGAGGCCATGAAACACACCCTGCACGCAGGGACACAGAGAGAACATTCTCACCTGCTCTTCAGCCGTAACTTAACTCCTCCAGACCACGTGGCTTTGCTGGGCTGGAAGTCAGTGCTCACACAGTCCGGACCGAGTGGGCTGGGAGACAGGTCGGTGCATCCCTTTGCTGCATGTGTGTCCCTGTCAGAAGAAACCAAGGCCACGTAAACACCACCACACAAAAACCTCAGCCCCTGTATCCTCTGTTTCATCAGGATTTTAGGAAAGATGGCATTACACAGACCCAGGGGGCAAGGCAGGAGCATCAGTCTAGTTTTTGAAAAAGCGCAAAGAACATGTCACAGAAAGCCACATGTATCCCTCGTGTAAAGCCACGTGTATCCTTGTTTTTCTCTAACCTGGGCAGTGCTCAGCACCTGAGAGAGTCTCTTGCACAATCCCACAGTGCTGCTTCTCCCCACACAGGAGCGAGTTCAGCTGCAGCACCCACGGCACAAAACTCATTATCCTACAGCTGCATCTGGGGACCTTAAATCCCCAGGGCTGGAGTTCAGGGGTTCCACCGTGGGATATGCCTTTTCCACACCTCATGAGAGCACAGGGAATGCTCTGAACACACAAGAGAGAAGCTAAGAGAAAGGTCCATGCAGTGGGAGGGAGAAAGAGAAACCTATCCCCCCCCACTGATATTTTCCCAAAGTCAGGAAGCACATATTTACCCCGCTCCAGCACACGCGTGCAGACGTCACACAAACACCGTGCGAGCATCGCTTCAGCTCCTTCCTTCCCCCAGGCACAGGAGAGCCCGCAACGCTCCACTATTCCCACTTTAGCACCGAAACGCGGGAGAGATTGGAAACTTCGGCTCGCCCAAGGAACCCCCTGCGCCGAATAAAAGCGGGGCTGAAAGGCCCCCTGCGCCTGTCCCTGCCCGCGGCAGGCCTGGCCCGGGCTAAGCTGGAATTGCCTCTTGTTGTGCGCTGAGCCCACATGCCGGCATCTGGGGCTTTGGATAGCTGAGATGGCTTGGATGCCATTCCGGTGAGAGACCGGCCGTCTTTGTGTCCGGCTGGGTCCTCCCCCACGCTCCCTCCCCGAGCCCCCACGTGCCAGGCAGGAATGTTAAGCCTCACACAGCGGGTGAGATATCCCAGGGAAGCGCAGCAGGACTTTCACCTAGATTAGGGAAAGCGACTGGTCTGGAACGGCCTTTTCTGCTCGCCCTGCTTATCTTCATCCAGATTTCACCCCAAATCCTGCCTTGGCTGCCTTTTCTTTCCCTGTGCCAAATCCCATCCTGCTTTGTCTGTGCCACCCCTCTCCTCTGTGATGATGTCAAGCCTCCCATCAAACCAGAAAGATTCCCTTCCCTGCTCCCATTCCAGCCTCGCTGTACACCGGGAGCACAACCTCCTCTACTGCAGCCCTGGGAAGCGCCAATGCCAAACCCCTCAACTGCTCCAATTCTCTTTGCTCACCGAGTTTACCATGAGAAATCACCAATTTCCAGAGCCAAGGTGATTTCTTTGACACAATTCTCAGAGTGCTGTTCCAACCCGTTTGAAAGCAGATACTGCCACAGGAGATCTTTGCCATGTTACAAGAGAGGTCTCAGATCTTTCCTAACTTTCCTGAGTGCTTGTCATAACTTCCCTGTTTCCTAAAGAGCAGAGTTTGGCTCTCGCAGGCCACACCACAGCTGTACTCCTTCAGTGAGGAAAGCTGCTCATGCCTCCTCTCTGGCCAGCTGTCTCCAGAGGAGCCAGTAACAATATTTAGGACTGGGAAACTGCCCCGTGCCAAAAAAAAAAGAGTAATCAGCAGCCTGAGAAACTGATATAAATCTGTGAGTGCCAATAGCTCCCTGGGCACCATAGCCTAGTGATCTTTCAGCACTTGGGCTCTTTTTTTTTCTTTAAGAAAAAACAGCTTTTGAAACACATTAAGGAAGCAAGAGACAATGCACTCTAAACTCTGCTGCGAACAGAGCTTTCTAAGTCACTTCCAAGCGTTCCCATATGGATGCACACAGCTCCGCCCCTCAACTGGCAGAGGGAAGGAAGGTAATCAGCTTGGGTGTTCCCCCTCCCAGGGAGCAAGCCCTGCTTGCCGGCACACATAACTTTGGGGTTTACCTCCCGGAGACAAAGACCCGTTAATTAGTGCCGGCGTGGGCTCTGGAGGTGCTGCGCGGGGGGAACAGGGAAACCCGACGGAGTTTTTCTCGAGCCTCTTAAAAAACTATAATTACAGAGCTCTGTGTGGCACGGCGGGCTCAGTAAGACATTGAAAACTAATCAGCCAGGCTATAAATAACGACATTAATCAGGGCCTGTGGGGAACACAAGACATGAGGACCCCTCCACCCGGGAAGCACACACACCTCAGGGATGGAGCACAGCCAGAGGGGATGGTCCCCATACAGGAGTGTCCCTGGTGAGAGCAGAGCTGGAGGAGCAGGCAGAATATCCGAGGAGACCCTAAACCCAGCACCTGTCCTCCCCTTGCAGCTTTCTGCCTTACCTGGCTGCTTTTCCCAGAAGGTTTTCCATGCCATTTCTAACTAAGGCAGCTCAGTCTAACAACCAGGAGTGTGTTCATCTCTATAAAGACACTTCTTCCACCATACCATGGAGACAGCCACCTTGGTACAAAGGGGTTGAGGGCCTACCTTTCCTCTTGGCAGTCACGACTGACCGTCTTCTCCTTTGAGTGACCCTTCTCCAAATGCTGGAGCTGCCCTGAGACGGCTCTCTGGGACAGCACCCAGCCCAATGGGATGCTCTTTAAGGCCTGGGCTGCGTTTTATTTCGGGATGTTGCAAAGGGCCTCACAATTCCACAGCTAAAAAGTATCCCTGGCAAGGAGGGGCCTGCAGTTGTTCCTTTTGTTATCGTGCTGTTTCTAAAGTTCTCAAGTGGGAGACAGGAAACCCAGCACACACAGTCTATTTAAAACTCCTTTACCTCCCACCTGAGGCTGGCAGCTGCATCTGAAATCTTTCCTTTTCTGCAAAGTTCATGTTTAATTATGAATTGTTATTTATACTTGCCGGTTCCACGGTGCCTTTGGTATTTAATACCACACATGTTCATGAGTAACTCTGCTCAGCTTTTCCCTCATCTAAAAATATGACCTGGTAGGATTTTTTTTCCTTGATGCAAAAGAACACAGTACTAGAGATTTAAGCCTTTTTTTAAGGACAGCCTGCCCCTCAGGAGTTTCAGTGCCCCCTCCAGAAGAGAGGCAGCACCTCCTGAGCCCACATCTCCCTCTCCTTGCACGGCCTTGCTGCAGCAGCTATCTGCAAAACCTTTCCCTATTTTTTACCCCCTTCTTCAGAGCTCTTCAAGAGAGCATGTGTGGCCTTATTTTATATTAATCCCTACAAGACTAGTTTGCCAGTTGCTGCCATCGATGTCTCGTGTCTTTCCCGAGTTGCCACAATCCCTGCGGAATTCAGTCGCTGTTTTTGGGAGATCCTTTGCCTCTGACCAGAGCTGACTCTGACCTCCTCTGGCTGCTTTATCTGCCTCCCTCGCTGACCTCCCATCACCTGCATACTTGGAACGTTTCACAGCACTTATCTTAACCTTTTGGGCTCCTGGCTCTTCTTCCTCACTTTCCTCAGTCTTCCTTATCCTTATTTATAATTTTCACATTCCAGTACAGACTGGTTTCCTAAATCCAGCCTGGGCAGTAAGTGTGGGTGTGTGCCTCTGCCCAGCAGATCCCTCCAAAATTACCTCTGAGTCTGCAGAGATCATATTCTTAATTAATTAAACTCCACATTTCGTAACAACAGCTCCCTGAGTAATGGAAGCAGCATAAATCAGTGCTGCACTCTCACTGAGGAAATGCTGCCATGTGAGCTCAGCTGCCTGGCTACAATTCCCAAAGAGGAGAGAGATTTTGCACAGGGGAGCTGTACAAAACCCAACTTGGGAAGTTTTGTCTGCTCATAGCATTTCTTTCCCAGCACAGCAGCCTTACACTTGGCTGCACTACCATCCTGTACTCTGCTTTTTTGCTTAGCTGGCCGTAGTTCTAGGTATGAATCTAAGATATGGCTGAGATTATCCATAAACAGCACTTGGAACTATGTTTTAAAATTATTAAGGTTGATTGGGTTTTTAAAAATTTTTTAAACCAGGTATTTTTCAATGGTCCCACCTCTTGGAGCCATGACTACTGAGTTTGGTTTGTTGCCACAGTAATAGAAGACCTAAGTCCCAGAGGATAAAATCCCCAAATGTTAATAGGTTTAGTAATTTTTAATGTCTCTTTACTTCTAAGTCCAGTTTTGTTCCTAGAAGAGAGGATGGAGGTCATATTGTCATTTTTAAATCATTTGGGATCAACAGGAGTGTTTATAACCACTGTTAGAATTAAAAGAAAAATAGCTTCTCACAGGCTGATTCTTCTGAAATCGAGATTAAAGCAAGGAACTCCTCTTCCAACTTCTACAGCTGCATTTCCTGGTATTTTTGTCCCTTTGTCTTAAATCAGATGCTAAGAGGCAACCCTCCTCCATGACAGAAACAGCCAACAGCACAGCACAGACACAAAAACACGGAGAAGCAGCAACAAAGCCAAACCCAGCTCTGCCAGCCAGGAGGGATCCCGAGCAGTTAAAGCTGCTGGCTTATCCTCACAGCACCCCACGTTACACAATGTCACAGGGCAGCCCCAGATTCCCACCCAGCCCAGTGACATGAGGAGAGCTGGGCAGCTTCACCTCTGGCTCTCCTCATCCCACAGGCAAGCTCTCTGCAGCTGAGGAGCTGGAACTGCATCTCCTTGGGAATGAAAGCACCGCATCCACGGCAGTCCCCCATCTCCTAGCAAACAGCAAGCCCTCCTGCCTCCTCCATGCCGTCAGGGAGAGGGCTCCCCTGGGGAAGGGATGCAGAGTTGGGGGGGAAACCACGCTCATCCTGGGCACCGACCTTGTGCTCGCCTGTGGCCATCCTGCCGGGCAGATCCTCCTGCTCCGCCTCAAGGGAAAAGACTGGATTGCTTACGTATTTCTTATTTTGTTACCTCCTGTGGCTGCTCCAGAAATAGCCCCTAATCCACATCTCTGTCACGCTCACAGAATCTCCTTGAGCTGCACTGGAAGTGCCCCATGTGTCAGAGCACAGAGGCCCAGGTGCTCTCCTGGTGGCAGCAGTGCCTGC